TGCGAGGCCCGCAGTGAGGAAGGCAAGGGCCGCCCGCTGCCCCGGCCTGCTGTCCAGTGGGACATGCGCTCCAACGACAGTCAAGTGCACGCCCCAAAGGAGCAGCTCAGCCAGGACAGGCACCAGCAGCGCCGAGCTGCAGAGGCAGACCACAGGGAAGCCGCACCGCACCAGGAGGCCGACCCCGCGAGCGCCCCGCTGCGGGCCCCCCTCCAGGATCCAGAGGTAGTTCGGCGTGTGGAGCGCCTGCTGACGTGGCAGGCGTGTCTCCGGGGGACGGGGACGGGGTAACTAAGACAAACTAGAATATTGCAAACTTCATTTGCTTTTGTTTTTTTTACCCTTTCCCCCACCAGACCTGCCATTTCCTTCCGCTTCACTCATGCGTTTCCGCCCGATTCATTCGTCACGTCATTCTCGTTTCAGACGCCATTATCGTTCCTCCACATTGAGCATCGTTGCCATTGACGTTATCCGAGCCCATCGCACTTTGGAGTTATCTGTCGTAAGTCTGGTGGTTGCCTTTTCGATCATTTATTAAGGATCCATGCGTCTCGCTGTGTTCGGTATTCGCTTATTGCAAATTCACTGCTCTTAAATACACTGATTCTTCGACCCTCCGTAAGAGCGCATGGAGTCGAAATTGTAAGTTTGAATCGAGTTTCTGCCTTCACTTGCTCTCTTCACGGGGCCTTACGTATTTCAAAGTGTCCTTATCAGTGACTATACATGTGTTGTCACATCAGTAATTCTCGATACATGAAGAGGTTAGGTTGCTTGCCCGTGGGTGCCATGCACGTGTCTACTTGTTATTGGTTCTTGTCTTCATTTCTGTAGATGGACGAGGACGAAACGCAGAGGATCCGCGAGGCTCTCCTCCGACTCCTAGCACCTGTAAAAGAGGCAGCTGCCAGTAATGACCCGCTGATGGTGGTGCCTGCAACCAGTGGGGCAACTCAACTTGGATCCTTTGGGCCTGAGCACTTCCAGTGTAAGTAATAAATGTTTCCCTTACCTGAAATGTAGTCAACCTATCCTCCTCTAACAATTGCTTTTTACGTTCCAGTTTTCATGAGTATGTATGAAGCGTACACCAACGGAAGGTTAATCATTAAACCTGAGGAAGCCAATGCCAGCGTCAATCAGCAAAACAAGAGCGATACAGGCCCATTGCCCAATGCAAGCAAGTCTCCAAGAGCTTACCCGACACCATCCACTATTCAAGAAGTTAAAACTCCCACCAGCTCTCCACGACGTGAGAAGTCTCCTGAAATTGACTGTTCCCTCCTGGACAAGCCAGGTTCATCCAAGTCTGCCTCCTGGAAGAAGAAGCCTGAAGCAACTTGCACACAAAGGGAGCGATCTCCAGACCTCAGCCTGTCTCCCACTAGAAATACTCATCGCTCTTGTTCTCAAAATCTGAAACGTCCTTACAGTTCTCAAGGGCGGGAGAAGTCTCCTGAAATCGACTGGTCCTACCTGGACAAGCCAGGTTCATCCACGTCTGTCTCCTGGAGGAAGAAGCCTGAAGCAACTTGCACCCAAAGGGAGCGATCTCTAGGCCTCAGCCAGTCTCCTACTAGATATACTCATCGCTCTGGATCTCAAAACTTGAAACATCCGTACAGTTCTCCAAGACGTTACAAGTCTCCTGAAATCGACTGGTCCTGCCTGGACAAGCCAGGTTCATCTAAGTCTGCCTCCTGGAGGAAGAAGCCTGAAGCAACCTGCAACCAAAGGGAGCGATCTCCAGATTTTAGCCAGTCCCCCACTAGGATCAGTCATCGCTTCAGGACTGCAGCTCTAAATCACCCTTCTGGTTCCTTTAGCCGCAGTAGCTTTCCAGATAACAATGGGTCTCATATTGACCAGCCAGGTACATCACAGTCAGTTTCAGCAAGAGAAGAGCCTGACTTAACCCGGACCCGCAGAGACCATTCGCTAGACCAAAGCAGTTCTCTTGCTAGAACTTCTCGTCGCTCTGAAAATATTCAACGGCCTTTCCTTTGTCAAAGACGCCAGCCTTTATCTTCTCAGGAACCTGGTAAAAAACAGCAGCAATCTAAGAAAAAAAAAGGCAATTGTTTTAATTACTTTGGCAATACTGTTATGAATTTAACTCGTACCATATGCTAATTGTGTCTATTTTTTATTTTCTGTAGGTATGAAAGCCGCAGCTATGTGCTTAATTTGTTTGGAAAAGGGTCGGAAAGATCTCTTTTGCACTAATTGTGGGCATACTTTCCACAAATCTTGTCTTGCTGAGTGGGATAAGGTTCAGAAAAAAAGGAAACAACCAGAAAAAATTTGCCCGACGTGTAAAAAAAAATATGGCCGTTTCTTTAAAATCAGGATGTAGGTATTAAAATCAAATTTTCCTGCATACAACAATTGGTGCTTTTTAAGTTCTGTTTGACTTTTTTCTTTGTTTATGAATAATATTTCTTAAAATTGTTATATTCCTATGTAAGCTAAGGACACCCGATGGACACTCAATGAAATTCATGCCTTAATCTTTTGTTGGATCAGAGAAGATTTGTGAACCTTGCTTATCTAGTGTGATTACTCTGACTTAAGAAAAGAAGACTAAGGTTCCAATTAAAGACAAGGTATGGCGTTCATTGAGGTAGGCATCGGACCTATAGTCTGATAAGTCCAGTAATTACAGAGTCAATTTTTTACAATTGTGTTATTTTATCTTGTACTGACACTTTTTGTAATGTTTTAAGACAGGCTCTGAAAACTTAACAGTGTACATTGTATGCCGATATATCAGCAATCATATCAGCACACAATGTACACAGTTGAGTTTTCAGAGCGTTTTGAAGTTTTGTTTCCTTTTTCTTTTATAGAAAAATCAATGCATGACAATTTTTTTCATTTCTGTGACATGTATCACTTTTCTTAATTGTTGTATAACTGATTTTTTATAGATCTGTTTAACTGTGACCTATTTTATTCTTAAGTATTTTGTTCTTGTTCGTTGAATTGTTTAATACCAAGTCACAACTGTGTGATTTCCTCATGCAAATAAATAGCTGTCAGACTTGGTATGTTCTGGTTTACTTTCCAACTGTCACCCGTCATCATGCACTTGGTGAGCTGTAAGTGTGGGATTCCAGCCCAGTTTAAATGCAAGAAATGAAATTCATCGGCTATAAGAGGATGTAACTGTATGCTGAGCCCTAGTGCTGACATTTAAATTTGCCTTTGTGTAGACTTGCACACTTCACATTTGTCTGGGGTTCACAATGACTAAGGTACAGTAAGATTTTCACAGGCTGTCCTCATTTAATTGAAGGAACGCCACCACAAGTCGAACACTTTCTCCTTCCCGTAAACTCTGTCTGGATTGTCAGATTGGTAGCCTGGTATTTTGCTAGGTTGCAAAAAATTAGAATTACTTCTTTGTGCTAGTAGTCCTATACATTAACCTTATCATGAGGTAAAATTTAATATATATTTGAAATGAATTTGCATCTCTTCGGAAAATTTTTATGCTGTATAGTGCATCATTTGACGACAAACAAGCTTAAAACGGGCCAGATTTTGAAAGGGTTTTTCTCTGGGAAACATCCAAAATGTATAATGTCAGAGTGATCCTACCTGGCACCAGCAAAATCCAAACAGTTCAAGAAAGAGGAAGAAAAAATGTAACAATTTTGTGTAGAAGTGCTTGCTAGGAAATGGGAAGCTGGGTAGGGGTAACAAATTTGTAGTGCAGCTACTTCAAAAGCGGAAGATGCAGAAGCAATAAAAAGAACAGTATTTTCAAGTTGTTGAAAGCAAGTATATTTATTGCATATGAGAATGAAACTTATTGCTTAAAACATCTTAATTTTGGCAGTGTAGACTATCAGTACATAAACTTAACAGTGCCTAAAAGGAAAAAGGCAAATTATTTCTTATAAAGGTTTCATTACGCTATAGTAAGTCTTACTAGTCAGAATGAAACCTTTTCATATGAAAATTAAGGTGAAAAGTGGAACCTCTCAGGAACCGTTTACAAACAGGGCAAGTATTATCTTGAGTAGTTTTAGGTTTGTATGCAGGGTAAGAGGCATCAACAAGGCGACACAGATTTACAGAGTCTTCAGGATGTTTGGCAGCAATGTGCTTTTTGCAGCGAGCAATCTTGTTTTCTTGAAATGTTTGCTTGCACTTCGGACATATAATGGTTCTATTTTTGAGTGGCTGTCTGGTACTAGTAGTTTCAGAGTTTACTTTGCTGCTTTCAACCACCTTGCCACTTTCTTCGTCACTTCTCTCAGGGTATCTGACTTCCATTGGGTGGGTTCTTGGGAACATGAGCAATGTCTGGTTGTTATAAGTATCCATTAGGTCTGGTCGACAACTCCTGACTATTTCTGTGAAGTCCAGCTGGATCTGGTCCACACTGCAATGGGAGGCAAAGTATTGAAAATTAAGTGCAAACTCAAATCTGACACGAGGGAAAAGAAAGAGGAGAGGTCCTTACTTGCACATGCATGTTGGAGCATATATACCAAGTTGTACCCAGTCAGGGTCACCAAAGTTAGCGGCCATTGCAAGATTGTGACCCATATTGAAGCCAGCATGTAAGGCAAAGGGAAAGGTAATCATGAAATCCCCAGGTTCTTGCAGGGCCTGAAAAAGAAACAGTTTCATAAGGAATCTAAATTACTTCATATCACTTATGACTTAAAGATGAAAAAATGACAATGCCAGGACTTTTTTAAGAGTTAAGAATAGTATTGTAATTTTAGGTGTTCAATCACAGATTCTGTTCGAATCAGTTCATTAAAAGTAAGCATGCATCACAGGTAGCACAATACCAAACTTGAAGTAAAAAGTGTGAATGGTACTTTTTTTAAACTTGCTACAAATTTACACAAACCTCCCTGGTCAAAAATAATTTAAAAAAATAATTTTAAAAGTCGTACTTTTGGCCCAATATGTCCTTGGACATCTAGCTGTTATTAAGGTCCTAGCACTTGCTGTAGTGTACTTACAGTAGTGTATGGAATGCCATGAAGATCAAAGAAATACTTGGGATTTGCAATTAAAACCTTGTGGTCGACAAGTAGCGCTCTGCAGGAGGTGTGACCTTTATCCATGTGCAGAGAGGCAGTTATCTTATCCACTAACCCAAAATACTTAGGATCAATACCAAACCTGTATGAATGAAGCAGAAACAACATCATGATCAGCAGAGTAAGTGACAGTATTCAAAGGGAATGTCAAAGATTTATGGGGCACTTACCACAATTTAGGAGCACCCTTGATGTTGTAGTTAATACTGAATAGCCCTGCATCTTCAATATGCCATGGGAAAAAACTATGAGCAGTTCCGCTGTACACATAAGGGTACGCCAGGCCAACATATTTATCTGTTAGGTGGTCTAAAACAGTTTTCAGATGAGACAGTGAAAAATCCTTGCACAACTTTATTTTGATGCCTCGGTGAAGTTGAATTCCTGCTCCATATAAGATAGGAGAGATTTTCTCATCATTCTTTCTTGATGCGTCCAGTGCTCGTAAAACTGCAAAGCAATGGTCTGTGAGACCTGTTACACCTCTCTCCTTTAAAACCTGATAACTAAACAGGAAATATAGTTCAGTTCATAGTTTGTTCAACATCACATAATTAAAATAAGAAAAAGTAATTACCAGCAGTTGCTCTCATCTTTGCAATCATAGGAGGAATCGCAGGAGGCCTCTGTCACAAACTGCTGCCGTTCTTCAGGTGAGCATGGTACTTTGCGGTATTGGAATATATCCTGGTCTGGAGACGTTTGAAAAGCAACCTGCGCGTCCGGTTGGTAATCGAAATACTTTGATTTTGTTTTGCGGTCATAACTTTGACGCTTGAAAACTTTCTTCATCAAGCTCATAACAGCAGTACAAACTTCATCATTCCTCCGATCTTCTTCAGAAAGACGCAACTGTGAATAAGAAAAAGTCAAAGAATTTTAAAAAGGGTATGCAGACAGTAACATAATGATATGGTAACAAACATACTACGACAAGTCCCGTCTACAATACTTCAAAATAGGAGGTTGAGACGCACCCTAACCAAACCAGTGTGTCGCCCGTTTAGAGCTGTCCTCATCCAAGCCACGAAAGC